AGAGGGGGTTTCGGGCTGGGGAAGGTAGGTGGGATGGTGATAGGTGAGTGCAGGTAGGGAGTGGTGGGGATTGGTCACTGAGGTGGGAGGAGCGGATAGGTGGGAGATATTCCAAGTGTGGTCTAACCAGGGTTTTATAGAGCTGCAGCATAACCTCGTGGCTCTTAAATTCAATTCCCCTGCCAATGAAAGCCAACAGACCATATGCCTTCTTTACAACCCTATCAACTTGGGTAGCAACTTTGAGGGATCTATGGACGTGGACCCCAAGATCCCTCTGTTCCTCCACACTGCCAAGAATCCTACCATTAACCCTGTATTCTGCATTCAAATTCCACCTTCCAAAATGAATCACTTCACACTTTTCTGGGTTAAATTCCATCTGCCACTTCTTTGCCCAGCTCTGCATCCTGTCATTGTCCCATTGCAACCTACAACAGCCCTCCACACTGTCCACAACTCCACCAACCTTTGTGTCATTGGCAAACTTACTAACCAACCCTTCCACTTCCTCATCCAAGTCATTTATAAAGATCACAAAGAACAGAGGTCCCAGAATTGAAGGTCCCAGAACTGAAGCTCACGGGCTAAATACTTTCCATCCACTTCCACCCTCTGTCTTCTATCGGACAGCCAGTTTTGTATCCAGACAGCCAAATTTCCCTAAATCCCATGCCTCCTTTCATAGCCCCTTTTAGCCTTCCGAATTCCACGATTAAGTTCCTTCCTAATTTCTCTATACTCCACAAAGGCTTCGTCAGTTTGTAGCTGCCTAGACCTATTGTATGCTTCCTTTTCCCTTTTGACTAAGCTTACAATTTCCCTTGTCGTCCTTGGTTCCTTATTCCTGCCATTCCTATCCTTCAGCTTTGCAGGGACATGCATGTTCTGCATTTTAATCAACTGGTCTTTAAAAGCCTCCCACATGCCAAACGTAGGTTTGCCCTCAAATAACTGCTCCCAGTGCACATTCCCTAGTTCCTATATATTTTGGATGTAATTGGCCCTTGCCCAATTAAGCACCCTCACCCAAGGCCACTCTTGTCCTTGTCCATGACTACTCGAAATCTTATGCAGTTATGGTCACTAAGCCCAAAATGCTCTCCTACTGAAACATTGATCACCTGTCCTGGCTCATTCCCTAGTATCAAGTCTAATATGGCCTCCTCTCTGGTTGGATTGTCTCAAAAAGTCCTTCTGAACACATCTAACAAATTGCTGTCCGTCTGAGCCCTTTCATGGATCATGGAATCCCTACAGTGTGGAAACAGGTCCTGCGGCCCAACAAGTCCACAGCGACCCTCAGAGCATCCTACCCAGACCCATCCACCTAATCTACACATTCCTGAACACTACGGTCAATTTAGAATGACCAATCCACCTAGCCTGCACATCTTTGGACTGTGGGAGGAAACTAGAGCACCCGGAGGAAACCCACGCAGACACGGGGAGAATGTGCAAACTCCACCCGAGGGTGGAATCGAACCCAGGTCCCTGGCACTGTGAGGCAGCAGTGCTAACCACTGAGCCACCATGCCTGGATCAAAATCTCTCCCTGACAGGTACATGTACTCGCACCACTTGGACTGCAGCAATTCAAGATGGCAGCTTATCACATTATCAAGAGAAACCAGGGATACGCAGGAAATACTGACCTTACCAACATCACATTCCATGAAAGAATAAGTAACATCACTGCTGGAGCCCTCTCTTGCATCATCACTACAGTCTTCTGCTGCCCCCACACAATTCTTCGTGCCGATAGAGGCATTTTGGCCCATCAAGTCGGCACCGACCCGCCAAAGAGTATTCCAAACCAGACCCAACCCCCATCCTATTCCTGTTACACCACATTTATCATGCTAATCCACCTAACCTACACGTCCCTGGACACTACAGGCAATTTAGCATGGCCCACCCACCTAACCTGCACGCCTTTGGACTGTGGAAGGAAACCAGTGCACCTGGCAAAAACCCACGTAGACTCAGGGAGAACATGCAACCTCAACACAGACAGTCACCTAAGGCTGGAATCAAACCCAGGTTCCTGGCACTGTGAGGCTGCAATGCTAACCACTGTGCCTGTAGTCACAATCTGTATCTTGCCACTGACCTAGATCTTCAGTTTCCCCACCTTCAATCTTTATCATAAGACAGCACCACCACCACCACCACCGCCACCCACCAAAACCCTATCCTCTTTCAAAAAGCTGGCATGAGCACAATGGAATGATGGCTTCCTTCTGTGATATCTGATTTGGTTTTAAGGTGATAAATACCCAAGATTACAGTTCAATTCTACTTGAATACCTTATTTTTCCAATACCTGGACAGTTTTTCTGCATCAAAAATGGTTGTGTTGTATTGGGTGATTCAATGGAAAATTCAGGGTGAATTTCTCCTCAAAAAGATCATTCAGGAATTGGGGAAATAAATTCCCAGCATGTTTGCAAGTGCGATGCAAGTCCTGCTAGTCCTGAGCATGCATTTTTTAACATACCCAGAAAATCATGAAATAAAATTGTTACTCAAATTCAGGAAAAATCAAAATCACGTTGACTTGTATGATATAACCATGGTTCTAAGCAAGCAAATAGGAGTCAAGTGTTTTCTACTTATCACTTTCATAATTAAACCAAGAGCTGATGAAAGCAGACACTAAAGAATTTTTGATTACTTTATACTGAAGCATTCATCCAGCTGTACATACATCCTTACAGATACACAAGTGGAACTGTTTCTAACATCCATTTTTGTATAAGGAATTAGCTATCTAATGATAGGGAAAACTAAAAAGTATTAGATAAAATCTAATGATGTGCTTTCTTTTTAGTAATTGTCTCTTAGAGACACACAAATATGCATACTGTTTAACTGCTGAGTGTTTTCTGTATTTTCTGTTGTGTTCCTCATCCCCGTTAAACTATATTAGAGAAAAATGTTCCCATACTAGACTACAGACCATTCCTATAATTTAGACAGATATCCATCCTAAGATGACTCCTCATTAGATAATAAGATCTGGCAGAAAGGAAATTAGGAGGGCTAAATGAAGGCAGGAAAGGATAATGATAGATAAAATAACTAAAAAAAAACCTAAGCTATTTTGTAAGTACTTTGAGGGTAAAAGAATAACTAGAGAAAGACTTGGGCCATTAAGAATACAGTGGTCATTTGTGCGTGAAGCCAGAGAATAAGGTTGTAAATAAATACTTTATGCTGATGTTCACTAGTGAGGTGAACGATGTGGGTATAGAAATCATGGAGAAGGACTGTAAGATACTTTTAAAGACATTAGCATAGGCAGAGAGGAGGTTCTGAGTGGTCTAGCAGTCCAAACAGTTGTTAAATCTTCAGGTTTGGATGAAATGTATCCCTAGGTTGTTGAGTGAGGCAAGGGAGGAATAGCAGGGACCTTTAGCAATAATTTTCAATTCCTCTCTGGCCACAGGAGAAGTGCCAGAGAGGACTGGAGGACAGCCAGTATGATACCGTTGTTCAAGGTGGAGCAAAAGATAGACCAGAAAGCTACAAATCAGTCAGTCTAGCTTCAGTGGTGGGGAAACTATTAGAAGCAATTCTGAGGCTCAGAATTAAGCTACATTTGGAGAGGCAGGGATGAAGCAAGAACAGTCAGCATGATTTCATTAAGGGGAGGCCATCTCTGACCAACTTAATTCAATTTTTCAAAGAGGCGACCAGGTGTGTAAATGAGGGTAATCCATTTGACGTAGTCTACTTGGACTTCAGCAAGACAAAAGATAAGATCCTGCATGGGAGACAGATAGCAAAATAAAGAGTCAATGGGATCCAAAGAAATTTGGCTAATTGGATTCAGAACTGGGTTTTGGCGGGGAGCAAAGGACAATGGTCAACTTTTTTTGTAATTGCAAGCATGTGTCCGGTGAAGTTCCGTAATGTGCTGTTTTAGGGCATTACTGTGTGGGCTATATATAAATGATCTAGACTTGAATGTGGAAGGTTTTATCAGTAAGTTTGTGGCAGATATGAAAATTGGTGGGGTAGTAAATAGTGAGGAGGACAGCCTTGGATTACAGGAGGATATGGACTGGCCGATGAGATGGGCTGATCAGTGACAAATGACATTTGATGCAGGTAAGACTGAGGTGATGCATTTGGGCAGGACAAAAAAGACAATGGATACATGATGACCAGTAGGATCTTGGGGAGCACTGAGGATCACAGGGACCTGGCTGTGCATGTACTCTGGCCTCTTAAGGTAATGTGACATGTAGATAAAGTGATTAAGAATAGGGAGGTTATGCTGGAACTGTATGAAAAGGTGGTTAGGCCGTAGCTTGTGTGATTGCAATGGAGAAGGCACAGAGGAAACTTTCCAGGATATTTTCTGGGCTGGAGAATTTTAGTTATAAAGAGATTCAATAGGCTGTGGTTTTCCTTGGAGCAAAGGAGACTTGGGGCGTATGATTGAAATGTATAAAATTTAAAGGAGCACGGAAAGGGTAGACAGGAAGAAATATTTGGTACAGAAATCAATGACCAAGGGCATAGATTTAAAGTAAGGGGCAGGTAAGGAGCATTAGATGCCTGCTTTTTTGACTGGCACATACTTGATGGGCTGAAGAGCCTTTTTCTGTGCTGTAAACCTCTATGACTCTGTGAGAAAAACCCTGATTTCAAGACAATTTGTCTGTTGCCTGCTCTCACCAGGTATTTTACAAATAAACTGACTTTGTTACACAGATAGCATGTATTTTCATATCATGTCCATAATAAAAGGAAGCTATATTCAAATCAAACCAATTCACCACAATGTCCAAAGGCATGTCCAAATATAGACCATTTTCAATTTTCTTGCATTTGTATTTAATGTGACCACCACTATATGAATATTACATTTCAGATGTGTGGTCAAAGCAGTAGTGTGTGAAGAAAATGTGGGCTATTACACAGCTATATCTCATTATGGTGCTTTACCGCCTTCATAAACTGGCTCATATCTTTAACAAGATGCCTACCTGCTTAGTGTCAGGCGTCATTAGATTGAGGCTGCTGGTTGAAATATTCAGAGTGATGTTCATTCCAGCAAACTGTAGGTTGCTCTTACCAAGTACACTAGACAATGCTTTACTTGGTGGCTGTTGAGGCAAGTTACACAGAAACTATTACCCAAGCTGTTACCTGCAGGAAGACACTAACAAAGATAACTGTGATCCATGTATCTCAGCTCCCTCCTCTTCTTGAATTTTCTGCCAAAATCAGGTCCTTGACAATTATTTGCTGAAACTTAGCAAAGTATTGTGATTTTTCACTGTAGGTAGGGCACAGATGCAGGCCCAGTCTGCCCCTACCAAAACAGGATCAACCCAATATCTGTTGCGTTCATCTGGCCCACACGCTAGCTATCCAACCAACTGAGTTAACTAGACCCCTTGTACCTCATAACAAATTCCAGAGATATCTTTCAATGAAAGATTGGATTTTAATATATCTGAAAAGCGGAATTAATCAATAAAGTTTCACTTCTTAATCCTAACAATTATGAAAGAAAACAGAGGAAATTAACTTATTTTCATTCATTTTCAGAATTATTTGCTCCTTCATAGATGCACTTTAGAAAATGATTGTTCTTCTTGAACTGCTAGTATCTTTAAAGGTCTTCCCTGGATGCTGTAAAGCTGGGAGTTCCAGAATTTTGTCCACAATAGTGAAGAATAGTGTCTATGTCTGAATAATGCATGACTTGAAGAAGACATTTGAAGGTGATGGTATTCCCATCCACCTGACGCTTTGTCTTTCTAGATAGAGGTCATGGCTTTTGGAGATGCAGGATATCCTACATTTAGTACGCACTGCAGTCATGGTATAGTGGTGAGAATTATACGAAATATGTCAAAAATGGTTTCAGACTGCTTGATACTTTATTTATTGAAGCTCCTTCTTACAGAGCACAAAACTACTATGGCAAAAATGAAGGGAACTAAAAATCATTTCTGCTTTGTTATGCAACTATGCTACTACGAAGCATGTGGGCGGAGAAGGGGGAAGACCTACTAGTAAAAGTAGTGCACCATGAACTGAAACAAAGCATAAACCTTCTTAATGTTTCTTGCTTCAAAACATTTTGTTACACAAATAAACTTCAATAATTCATGCAAGAATCAAAATTTGTGATAGTGCTAACTCCATGATGCCGTGCTTCTAGCTGGCAGCGTGAGTCAAAGATTACGGACTATAATGTTGCAGAAATATCTCTGACCTTTCTGTCTATGAGCTTAACTTCCCTTTGGGAGTACAGGATCATTGAACTAACTCTTCCAAGACTGATTATTAGACATTATCACATGCCTAGGCAATTGCAAAATCAGCTTCTGTTGCAAGCAATACAGATATAAAACAAATTGTGAGGATACCTTTCTCTTTCGAAAAGCTCCTTTTGTGCCTGGTACAGCTTCACACACTCTACTGATAGCTTCTCTGGAAAAGAAAGGAATGATAGTAAGGACAGTTTCTCTGAACAAAATAAACCCATATATTAACACTGCCACAGGCAATACATAAAAAATATATTAATTAAGGTATAAATATATAGAAGGGAATATTGGTAATGGACAGTTGTTGCCAGTAGACCCCTCAGGACCATGTCCTAATTGTAGGAGTAGGCAGGTGGAGGACTGTACCAATCCTAAATAGGAGTTATCCAGTTTGTGGTTGTGGGAGTTGTGTCCAGGGGATTCACCAGACCCAGTGATCTGCAGTTGCCAATTTTGGGGTACCAATCACAAGATGGAGTTCCCACCTCAGGATATAGGAGTTTGATACATCTAAGGCCTTATGATGGATTTGATACTTAAGAAGGGAGGAGTTAAGTATCAGAGGGCTTCCAGGGGAATGGTATTGAGCTCTGCAGGGAGAGAATCAGAGGTGTCAGGTGGGGTTCTCAATCAAAGGCCTGAAAGGGGAATCAGAAGTTTGCGTTAGGGATTGGAAGATTGGAGGCCTCAGAGAAAGATCAGGTGAGTGAACTCAGAGGGCTCAGACTGATGCCCAGTCGCAAGGGGTTTGCCAAGGCAGCACAACCAATCCAGCAAATAGTAGGAAAAATGATCACCCCTTGGATTCAAAGGTGCTCACAATGGATTTCCAAGACTCAGCTGTCCTTTGTTAAATTCAAAACATTGGAACGAAGGTGGGCTCTTGTGCCACAGTGATAGTGTCCCTACTTCTGATATGGGAGGCTTGTGTTCAAATCCTACCTGCTTCAAAGGGGGTAACAACATCTCTGAACAGATTGATTAGAAAATATCTGAAACATGTCAGACTTGCATCTTCATTATAATATTAAAACTGACAACACACCTTCTCAGAAGGGGATGGTCATTTGGTTTCTCCTTCCTGCCCCAGCTAAAATTGGAAGTAGATAAATGGAGGCGGATTGAGATCAGGCCTCAAATTATTAACAGTTTAGTTTGTACCTAAGCCATTCTGCCCATTTTGAGGGGTTAAAACTTCACCAATTTGCTTATGAATATTAAATAATGGAATATTGTGGTTATCATGAGTTTTTGTATTTTTTAACTCAGAATCTGTGAAATAAAGTGGATCATGTGTCTGAAGTGAGAAATGAGGAATATGCATATGGTGACATACAATGGAGAAGGTGGAATTTACAGAGCAATTAAAACAGAATTGAGGACTGATTGAATTAATTATTGATTAAATTTTACAGAGACATCACTGATCACTGACAAAACAAATTTGCTGACATTTCAAACAAAATAGTGTGGATGCTGGAAATCTGAAACAAGAACAAAAAATGCTGGAAAAACATTGCAAGTCAAGCTTTTAAAATTTGATCCAGTTTCTTGGGTGAGCATTGGCTATGCGATTTGATGCCAACAAAAATGATTTTATTTTAAGAAAAGCAGGATTTAGTTGAATACCTTGAGTAAGGATTTGAGGCTTGTTAACCATTTGTTGTTTGGGTGCTACAGGTACCATTAGAGCTACAAAATGGCATCTGAAGTGTGCATTTAATATGCAAATATTAGTGCAGGTGCCATGAACATTTGCCAGCAGTATGCAAAGCAGGAAATCAAGATGTTAATCTGTGCGCAACACAGATTTTGTGCTGTGGTGCCTTTTTGGAGTTCAGTGCTCTAGCCAATTCTATCTCAACCTCACGTAGCTCATGAAGGACATTTTGATGATTTCAAAGTTTTGGCAGAAATTAGTTTCTTTTTCATATCTGACCAAGCTTGCCATATGAGCTACCTAACCCACCTTGTGGCCCCATCTTACCATATGCCATTCCTAGAACCACTTGCAACTCAATGGATCTCTGCTGAAAGGCTGGAATCATTTTCAAAGGTCAGTATGCACTTGGATGAGCACTGACATTGCAAAGTTGCCTGCTTGGTCTCTGACAGACTGAGAACATGTTGAAAAGGGAAAGACTGTCTGACAGGGACAAGGAACTGACGACCATGTTAAGAAGGAGCGGTCTAGGGGATATTCATCATGTTCCGGGTGGGCTGACCAGGGTACTGCCAGATACTGGCAGTCTGGTCTGATGTCACAACCTGAGTCAATGCCATTCCCATGGTCTGAAGGAACAATCAGTAGTATCATAAGAAAGTCTGCAGTGCCTGAGTACCTGCCACACCGTTCTTTGCTACCTCACACTCACTGTATCTCTGCTGCCAGACTCACCTCCCACCAAGGCTAATGCTTTGTCACTCTCACTATTGCCTGCAACATTTTCCCTCACTTACTAATCCTGCATGGCCTTTGTGCAACCTAATCAACTCCTCAAGACACGCTTCGCTCACCTGCACTAGCAACAACATCCGTACTACCCAGTTGCATCTCACTCAATCCCTCCCTTTTTCTCATTACAGGGGAAAACAGGTCATAACAATACCCTTTATAGGTAGAGGTGTGCCTGACATTAAGCAGAATCCTGGCCCTCTAGGGGGTGCAGAGATATCCATGTTCCACGAGTAATTACCACTCTTTGTTCCACTACAACTCTCACATTAACCCAACTGTCAATGTCCTACATTGTACACATATCTAACCACTGGCTGCAACACGTCCTCTCTCTTTTGTCTTGCAGGTACAGCCACCACCTCCACCATTTCCACAATCAAACAGCCAGTTGTCACAGAAGCCATCTCCTGGACTTCTGAAGACATGGCCTCACGGGAAGCATTGAGAAGACTGTCTGCTGCATCTCCCAACAGCCCAGATACTAATGTCTCAGTGGGAACGTAAGGCTGAGACAGTGTGGGAGCATAATCCATTGAGAACCTCACTGTGACAGCTCCACAGCTGGCCAAGGAATAAACACTCCAGGAGAAAGCTTTGACTTCAGCCATCAGACAGTTCATCATGGTTGACTCCATTATTGTCCAAATGGAGTTGTTCACCCTTCCAATGTTGGGAAAGATGTGTTTGAAGTTCTTATTCCAAATTGCATTGGAGTCCTCCACATTTCTTGGCATTAGCCACACACTTTCTGGTAGGTCTGTTAATGTACTGAACATTTTGATGTACAAACCCATGAGCACTCATCTGTAGGTTACTCCATCATTGTCCTCATCTGAGTTTACTGAATTAGATCTCATGTGCAAACTCACTCTTTGGCAAGAAGGCACTTGTGCTATCCTGGTCCCCCACCCTGGTTGAAGGCCTCTCATGTCCAGTGTCTCATCACATACCGATACCAGCCTTATTCTATCGTACTGGCACTAGCTGTTATAATCCTTGTAGAGAGCAATAACTTCTGAAAATATAGTCCAAAGATGTGCAGGCTAGGTGGACTGGCCATACTAAATTGCCCATAGTATTCAGAGATGTGTAGATTAGGTGGGTTATAGGAGAATGGGTCTGGGTGGGATGCTCTGAGCGTCAGTGTGGACTTATTGGGCCTGCTTCCACACTGTAGGGATCCTATGATTCTGTGATTCTATGTCTGAATTCCAGCGAAATGGCTGTACAAGATCTTAAGTTTTAAAACGTTGACTGTAATAAACAAATTAAAAGCAACACTGACTAACATTACCTTTACAGGTTAACTTATACTTCAAGTTACAGAAAAGATCACCTCTGTGACTTAGAGATAGAGTTATAGAGATATAAAAGCAAGCATACCAAACGCCTTCTTCACTATCCTATCTACCTGAGATTCCACTTTCAAGTCTAATATGACTGTTTATCCCACCCTACCATTACATTTTACTGTGTACCTTAAATTGACACTGTGTTCTCCCGGGGCTATTCTTCAGTCTTGAAGGCCTGCCTCCTTTCCCTCTACCAGCTGTTAACTTCTAATCTCAAGACTGACTTTCACAGTAAGGGTTACCCTGGAATTTCCTCTCTCCATTCAAGTTGAAAAATCTTCAAGCCTCATTTAAATCCCCATATACTGAGTACGAGTTTCCCGGCTTCCATGTGGGGGGTAATAAAGACAGCATTTTTTCTGCTTTTGATGCAGAGCTGGCTGTATTTCTCTCTCTCTCAGATTCTTGAAAACTACTATTATGATGGTAGATCAGGACTCTAAAAAAATCTAGAAATTGTTTGAAGTTCAAAGTTTAATTCCAAAATGTATTGATTCTAAAATAAGGTCTGAAAAACTGCTGCTTTAAATTTGGTGACTGACTGGCAAAGTCCTGCGTGAATCCCATAGAACATGACACATGTAAATTGTCAGGAAAACTTCAAACAGAGAGAAACAGCAGGAGCTAACAAGGGCACCTTGGACAATAGCCACCTTTTATCAGCATGTTTGTTTCTCGCAACAAAAATGTAAAAACATACAAGAAGTTGGAAAAAAAAAGTTTCAACTCCACTGGAAAGGTCTGGTGGGACTGAATGCTCTTGTGTATACCAGTCTACAATTGAACATTAGCGTGTTATGAAGATCACACTCAATGAACTATCCCTCAGCTACCTCTGTATTGCACATAAAGAACATTTCTCATACTGAGTACTGCCAGCCTGTTAAAACAAAAGCAGGGCAACAAAGGACACAGTTTCACCCTGAATGCTGGAATTCAATCATTATCAAAAGCATTTAAAGAACTGTATTTAAAAGAACAATAGAATTTCAACCAATTTGCCACGCAAAGAATCGTGATGGCAACTGTTCACCTACCACCGATGTTACTGTAACCTCCACTGCAGTGGCCACAACATTCAACCATCCACTCTTCATGAACAATTCAGAGACTGATCTATAAAGCTGATACGGTACTTTAACTTTTTGAATTCACCTCTTATTTCTAATTTGTGTGTATGTGTAAAAACCGAAAGAACTGCGGATGCTGTAAATCAGGAACAAAAACAGAAGTTGCTGGAAAAGCTCAGCAAGGCCAGGTGGCATTTGTGAAGACAAATCAGAGTTAACGTTTCGCGTCCAATGACCCTTCCTCAGAACTGGATTGGATCTAAGCGCACAGAGCACAGTCAGT